TTGAAGTTGTGGATATACCTTGCTGAAGAATGTCAACAAACACGAAATCTTGGTCCAGGGCTCTCTCTGATTGCCTCCAACCAACTAATGTTTCAAACACTTATTGCTTCAAATACAATCAAAATCTGATCACAAACGGCATCAAGACATTCCCTCAAAGAGTTCATACACTAGTGTAGATCATTCAAACTACAATCACACTTCCTCCTATTTAATCATTGTTATACAATGTTATTTCTAAATAAAATAAACCTCTTGGGTCAGTGGTGTTTAGACTCCTATATTTTCCAAATGATTTAAGGACTCATGAAATCCCCAATCGTGTGGGGATATTAATACCCTTCAATATCCCACTTATTGACTATCTGAGATAGTCTTGGTTTGACAAACTTGTATTACTGGTTCTAGGTGGTGATTGAAGATAAAATGAAAATCTGGGGCGTGGTAAGATTCAAACCAGCCGCCTCCAGGTTACCGGCCCAGTGTTCCAAAAACCTAACCACGAGATCCAGTTTGTTATTATTTACTTTATCTTATCCATAAACATAACTTTGCAATATTTGAGAATGGGATCATCATAAAAAGAGAAACTTCATTTGCTGAAATTTGTGTTTGATGCCTAAAAAAGGATTATAAATTGAATTTCCTTCGTAAGAATACATAAAACAGAGGAGTTCCAACTGGTTAACACAGTAAGCTTCTGCTACCTGAACAGTAAATAACTGAAAAGCATGGTCAATAACCTTAGTAAAACCAATGTATTTGTAATCATAAATACAAAACTTTAATTATACTTACAACTATTGTTGATTTGATCAGTCTTTTCATTATCATTTTCCACTTTCCCATCAAATGACGGTAACGGTTCAGTTTGTAAATAACTGACCACTTCTTCATAAGATAAGTCATCTTCAGGGATAAATTCAACAACTGGCAATTGTTCTGAGTAGAAATTTTAAGGACCAAAGACAAAGGAGATGAATGGAAAAAGAACGCTTGATCTCATCAGTATCATAAAGGCAACGCTTCCATACAGATGCATCATTGCGACTGATTTTAAGGTATATCACCTGAAGTCTTAAACAACTAGTATCTCCCATTATCACAGACAAAGACTTCATAAATTGATAAAACCTCAAAATACCCTTATAAAAGTAATAAATGTATCAGTTATAGTTACATTTGATGAGCCAATATTTCTTAAAATCTTCCTCTTATCGTGAAAAAAACTAAAAAATATTGTTCTTTCTGTGAAAAAAAGATCTAAGGCATACTCCTGTAAACAACAGCTCATATTTAGTGTTAGTAAAGACATACGCATCACATAGCTTTAGTTAAATAGAGATGACAATGTTTAGTTGACACAGCAATATTAAGGATTGCGCCCTTAACCCTACTATCAAAACTGAAACTTTCATTTCCATTCCCTTACATTTCTAAGGAATCGTGGCTCCCTAAAATTAGACAGTAAGATCTCTCATTAAGCGATAATTATAAAAGTTAACTATTCACTTATACCTCTGACATATTCAGCAGAAAACTAAATTACTTACCAAGGGTTATGAATGAATAAATAAAAGGTTCTCTACAGTTTATGCATCGATTTCCCAAGGTGTTTAAAAGTGGATTTGTAGCTGAGCAACGATAGCAGATAGTACTAATCTCCTAGAAATTTAATGGAACACAAAGAAGCATAACAGTCAACAAGTAATTTCAAAATTAGAAATATAAAACAAGCTTTGCATAGGTAAATGGAGTAACTTTCGATAAGTGTTGAGCCATTCACAATAAGCGGTTACATAGTAATAAAAAACCAAACGAGTATCTACAGAAACAAGAAGGGGGAGAGGTGTATAAAGTAAACCTAGAAGTTACATCCTGTTGACGGCTACGGTAGTGAAAGTGGTCGAACAAACTTCTTTTGTATACAAAGGCTAGGTTTGTAAAGGTGGATTGCGATCGCCTCTGCTATGTGAAGTAACCGAGTACGTAATCCATGTGGTAAATTAATTGGAATCTGATGGATGATTTTGAGAGCTTTTCTAGTATCAAATTGATGTCCCATGTCAACTAGGTGGGCAAGTATGGAGCTCTTTATTGTTCTAATTTGTCCATGATGGGTGGTGCCCAGAAATTCAACGATGGAACTGCCTCATTGTACGCTCAACGTAACTAGCTCCGCAGGAGCAGTTGAATTGATAAGTGCACACAGAAGTGGCAGAATCAGGCAGTTTGTTTTTATTTCTTGCACCTAGAGTCGGACAGTTGTAGAAGATAGGACATAATTTAGCGGCTGGGAATGCTTTATGCAAGACTCTTTTTATGCGTTGTGTGATGATCTCATTGGCAAGGTCACTCTTAAATTCAAGAAGATTTGCTTCTTAGGAACTGTTGGCGTTCTTGTCTTAACCTTCATAGTATATATATGCTTAGTTACAAACTTGTGTGTGCCGCCATTCCTATTGAGCATCCTCTGAGTAAATAGCTGAGGCACATTATACTAAGCATTTCACTAGGTTACTTTTTGCATTCGAGGGTATGGCACTAAATAATTGCGTATGTTGATTTGTTGATGTTGGCTTTCTATTTACACTTCGTTTCATGGTTCCGTCTAACCTTCTTACCAACAGAACATTAAGAAATAGGATATTGTCATTTTTCTCCTCTTCCATTGTGAAGTTGATTGCCGGATGAACACTATTGAACTTATCCAGATCAGCATTCTTATCAGTCCCACCTTTGAAAACTGTAAAGGCATCACCCATGTAACGACAGTATAACTCTAAACGGCTAATAGTTTCGTTCAGTGGACCATTCTTCAGTTTTGTCAGAAAAAAATCTGCTAAGAGCAGACCATGGGGTGACCCCGTAGCAACACCATCAGATTGCGGGTGGTGTTCGTTGTTGAAAAAGAACTATGCCTTCACCGTACACCTAAGAAGTAGTTCTTTCAATTTGGAGACTGGAATATTTATTTCCATGAGCTTGTTGCAAATAAAGTCTACTGTCTCCATTAAAGAAAAGTTAGTAAAAAGAAATGAAACATCACACGATATCATCAACTTATTATCTACTTTTAGATCCTCAATCTTTCCAACAAATTCAAAGGTACCCTTGAGACTGTACGTCACAACTGCTTTGTGGAGAGGCTTCAAGAGTTGTATTAACCATTTTGATATTGTATGATACGGAGAGTTTTTTATTTCGAGAACTGGTCGGTGAGGTAGACCATTTTTATGCAGTTTTGTTAGATCGTAAAGTCTAGGTGTAACGGTTTCAGTAAGTTTGAGCAGTTCAAAGGTGTTTTTTGAAATGAAACCCTGTTGTTTTATCTTTTTCAGTGATTCGGTTAGATGTTTCTCGGTATCACCATAAGCGGCTAATTTCTTTCATCACTAGGTAAAGAACTCATTTTGTCTGTGTACTCTTTTTTATCCATTAAAACTATTCCTGATCCTTTATCTAGCTTGGCAATCTCAATATTTGCATTAGTTTTGAGCTTTTTCAAAGCTTCTCTATGTTTTCTCGCTAGAATACTCTTCATACCGTTCCTACTACTCGTGTACTTTACGCAGGAGTCAATGAGTGTAATCTTCAGTCTATCAACGTCTTCACTAGATGATGGTACCAAACCTTCCATCTGGGTATACATGTTCTCCAACTGTATTCCACTTCTATCTTACTAATCGTATTTCGACTATCACAAAAGTTTGGTCCAAGTGACAAAAACTTCTAGTTGTATAGCATCAAGATCGTAGCTACAAAAGTTATGCACAAACTGACCCGGGTTAGTCAGGAATCTCATCTCCGGTGTACAGTTTTCGAGAGTTTTGACCAGCTTAATGCGCTTCTTTTCCTTCCGTGCATTGACCAAATTCGCCACATAACTCAAAAATTCCTGCTTTAAATTTCCAAAAAGCCCTTCTACAGAATGAAATCTCTTTGTAACATTTTTCAACATTTCAGTAGAATAAGATCTTAGTGAGTCAATCTGATTCAGAGCATAACGTTTCAATGTTCTTGCATTGGGTCGAACCCTGGAGCGTCGTACAGATTTCCAATATTCCTTAGGATAATGATTCATTGAAATGCATTCGTCACCGAAATTTATAGTAATCTTCGCTTCACAGAGCTTCGGGCTGTACTTCAGATACTGAGAGAGAGACTTTAACGCAATTCGGTGCTCAAAAGATTACATTACATTGAGTGTTCTCATATAGACAAGTTTGTAACTAAGCATATATATACTATGAAGGTTAAGACAAGAACGCCAACAGTTCCTAAGAAGCAAATCTTCTTGAATTTAAGAGTGACCTTGCCAATGAGATCATCACACAACGCATAAAAAGAGTCTTGCATAAAGCATTCCCAGCCGCTAAATTATGTCCTATCTTCTACAACTGTCCGACTCTAGGTGCAAGAAATAAAAACAAACTGCCTGATTCTGCCACTTCTGTGTGCACTTATCAATTCAACTGCTCCTGCGGAGCTAGTTACGTTGAGCGTACAATGAGGCAGTTCCATCGTTGAATTTCTGGGCACCACCCATCATGGACAAATTAGAACAATAAAGAGCTCCATACTTGCCCACCTAGTTGACATGGGTCATCAATTTGATACTAGAAAAGCTCTCAAAATCATCCATCAGATTCCAATTAATTTACCACATGGATTACGTACTCGGTTACTTCACATAGCAGAGGCGATCGCAATCCACCTTTACAAACCTAGCCTTTGTATACAAAAGAAGTTTGTTCGACCACTTTCACTACCGTAGCCGTCAACAGGATGTAACTTCTAGGTTTACTTTATACACCTCTCCCCCTTCTTGTTTCTGTAGATACTCGTTTGGTTTTTTATTACTATGTAACCGCTTATTGTGAATGGCTCAACACTTATCGAAAGTTACTCCATTTACCTATGCAAAGCTTGTTTTATATTTCTAATTTTGAAATTACTTGTTGACTGTTATGCTTCTTTGTGTTCCATTAAATTTCTAGGAGATTAGTACTATCTGCTATCGTTGCTCAGCTACAAATCCACTTTTAAACACCTTGGGAAATCGATGCATAAACTGTAGAGAACCTTTTATTTATTCATTCATAACCCTTGGTAAGTAATTTAGTTTTCTGCTGAATATGTCAGAGGTATAAGTGAATAGTTAACTTTTATAATTATCGCTTAATGAGAGATCTTACTGTCTAATTTTAGGGAGCCACGATTCCTTAGAAATGTAAGGGAATGGAAATGAAAGTTTCAGTTTTGATAGTAGGGTTAAGGGCGCAATCCTTAATATTGCTGTGTCAACTAAACATTGTCATCTCTATTTAACTAAAGCTATGTGATGCGTATGTCTTTACTAACACTAAATATGAGCTGTTGTTTACAGGAGTATGCCTTAGATCTTTTTTTCACAGAAAGAACAATATTTTTTAGTTTTTTTCACGATAAGAGGAAGATTTTAAGAAATATTGGCTCATCAAATGTAACTATAACTGATACATTTATTACTTTTATAAGGGTATTTTGAGGTTTTATCAATTTATGAAGTCTTTGTCTGTGATAATGGGAGATACTAGTTGTTTAAGACTTCAGGTGATATACCTTAAAATCAGTCGCAATGATGCATCTGTATGGAAGCGTTGCCTTTATGATACTGATGAGATCAAGCGTTCTTTTTCCATTCATCTCCTTTGTCTTTGGTCCTTAAAATTTCTACTCAGAACAATTGCCAGTTGTTGAATTTATCCCTGAAGATGACTTATCTTATGAAGAAGTGGTCAGTTATTTACAAACTGAACCGTTACCGTCATTTGATGGGAAAGTGGAAAATGATAATGAAAAGACTGATCAAATCAACAATAGTTGTAAGTATAATTAAAGTTTTGTATTTATGATTACAAATACATTGGTTTTACTAAGGTTATTGACCATGCTTTTCAGTTATTTACTGTTCAGGTAGCAGAAGCTTACTGTGTTAACCAGTTGGAACTCCTCTGTTTTATGTATTCTTACGAAGGAAATTCAATTTATAATCCTTTTTTAGGCATCAAACACAAATTTCAGCAAATGAAGTTTCTCTTTTTATGATGATCCCATTCTCAAATATTGCAAAGTTATGTTTATGGATAAGATAAAGTAAATAATAACAAACTGGATCTCGTGGTTAGGTTTTTGGAACACTGGGCCGGTAACCTGGAGGCGGCTGGTTTGAATCTTACCACGCCCCAGATTTTCATTTTATCTTCAATCACCACCTAGAACCAGTAATACAAGTTTGTCAAACCAAGACTATCTCAGATAGTCAATAAGTGGGATATTGAAGGGTATTAATATCCCCACACGATTGGGGATTTCATGAGTCCTTAAATCATTTGGAAAATATAGGAGTCTAAACACCACTGACCCAAGAGGTTTATTTTATTTAGAAATAACATTGTATAACAATGATTAAATAGGAGGAAGTGTGATTGTAGTTTGAATGATCTACACTAGTGTATGAACTCTTTGAGGGAATGTCTTGATGCCGTTTGTGATCAGATTTTGATTGTATTTGAAGCAATAAGTGTTTGAAACATTAGTTGGTTGGAGGCAATCAGAGAGAGCCCTGGACCAAGATTTCGTGTTTGTTGACATTCTTCAGCAAGGTATATCCACAACTTCAAGGGACCTAATGTCCCCTGTGTTGATTTCATTGACCTAGATCCAGGGTTTCCTGCAGATAGTCTCCAATTAATATCCAAGTGCACTGAGATGCTGAGCCTCCCAGCTTGACGGCTACATTGCAAAATGATGAATAGAATTTCGTCAGCACTCAGGACTAAACAACTTTTATGGGCTCCTCCCTGTGACTACTCAGTGTGTTAGAAGCATTATTATGAAATATAATGAAATATATTGCTTTTCGAAATGTATAACTTTAAATGCCACATCTTTATATATATATATATATATATATATATATATATATACGTATAGCCCTAGATAAATATATTCACATATTGTCATTTCAGATTCACAGACACTTAAAATTTCTCATGAACATGATAACAATAAATTGAGTCGAGATGCATTCACGGCGAAGTTGCTGAATTCAGATGTAAGTTCTCACACTGAAACTTTTATTTATTTTATAAATATTCTTTCATGTTTTTCATGACTAACTAAATAATTGTATGTACTGGACTGGGAATTTCGATATAATTTTCCTCTTTATAAACATTACCTGTAACCAATGAAGATGATTAGTAATTAAGAATAAGCTATACATGTCTCCTTTTTTCCTTTTTTGTTACAACTTCGCAAATTCAACAACTGAATAAAATTACAGCATAATTTTGTGCCTTATTTTTTCGATTTCCATTTGTATAGGAAATGTTTTCACAGACTAGTTAAGTGTCATTGGAATAATAGTTATGCAAGATTATGAATCATCTAATATTTCTGATATCAGTTGTTATTAATAGGATTACTGGTCAAAAATTGATGTTTATATAAACTAAGGACTATTACGAAATATTTATGCATTGAATAAGATAAGATATTCTACAAATAAGACACCTCGGTGGTGACATACACACATACATTCCATAAATTGCGTGGACTATCTTCACATCCTACAGAATATCTCTAAAACCTTCAAGTTATTCGAAAATTTCCGACTTCTTCTGAAGCTTTGAAGTCATTATTAGTTTTCTGTGCTAGCATATGTCCAAACTTGAGATTTTATTATCACTTTTGTTTTGTTTTCATGACTCACTACCATAAGTAACTGGAAGTGATCAAATTTATTCTTTCATATTGCATAAATGAGGAGTATAAATGACTGAACTTTCGATGATAAGGTTAACCTATACTGTTTATTGATACTTGTAATTTCCCATTGTTATTCCGGGTCTAATTGATCACCCTCTGGTCGTATATGGTCTCCTATGCAGATGCCTCGATATTGCCTGATTATTGATTATATCGTTATCTGCTTGGTGTTAACTAGTAGTGGAATTCAGGACGTGTGTCTCTTGACCCAGTGGCCTTTGGTGTTTGGGGAGATGGACGGTGCGTTTGAGTACCAGTAGGAATGACATCACTCACTGGAGTGTGAGTCCATCCAACTGACGAGTACCGAATAGGACGAAAAGTACGCCCTGGATTCCATTTCTAGCCCCCAGCAAGCAAAGTAAAACGTAAGCTTACACTGTTCACCTTAAAAATAAGTATAATGGAGTGAATAACGATTCAAGTTATAATTTAATGCGATTACTAAACAACCTGATAAGCTGAAAATAAACTGATAATTATACACAAACGGGGAATGTTTTGATGTTGTGATAGACTAAATTTATTGTCTGAAAATTGTTACGGACTGATTCAGTTTATAGCTCACCACATTACTGCTTTTGTTTATTGCATTAGAAATCTCTATTTAGACATTTCAAAAACAGATTTAGTAGAGAAAATGTTTTTTACGCAGTTAGCTCATCCTAAACGGTTCTGTAGTTCTACAACATGCATTTACAGTAAATTATTCAAAGTTATTCCTTCCACCACTGAGACTTGTATTAACTCTTGTGCGCAAGTTTTATGCCTTCAATAAGCAGATTTCACACACTAAAAAGTGTGAATAATTTAGGATTGCACTATGGTCTCCATGGGTATTTATTTGCCTTAGGAATTTCCAAGTCATTGTTTAATTTGTTCATCAAAAATCGACCCAAATCAATGCAGAAATGTAAGCCTTATATACGTTGAGAAGTGGAATGTCGTATGTTAGGTGGCATTTTTATAACCTTTCCCAGATTCGTTAAACTAACCAGCTTTCTAGTAATATGTATGCTTTCATATTTTCGATAAAGGTTAGAGCTGATTACATAGACTCGTTTAGTTCCACTTACAGTTATATTTGTAGTATTTAAAATATTTTTGATGTCATATCATCGTTACCGATTAGCGTATTCATTATTAATTCAATATATCATTCATTATCAACTAAACCAAGGCTTTCGCTGTTCTCTTCTCCTTCCTTTGCTAATTAAAAACTATCCTCACATGGTAAAATAACCTTCAAGAAATGTATAACAGATAGACCATCATTCAGCCTTTTATTTTCTGAAAAATAATCAGTAAGATAATGCATCGGGACAGGATAAAAGAGACTAAACTTTAGGTTGTTTAAAAAAGTTCTGACCGTCAATTATTAAGAGGCAGTCAACAAGGCCGCGTACACAGTTCTTAGCAGCATTCATCACCTAAATATGCCAGCAACCTGGAGAGTGCTTCAGCATCTTTGCCATATAGGATTTCCTCGTTTAAGGATAGAAAAAAGCCACTCAGTCAGCGTCGGTTTATTTGAAGTTGATCAGTAAAGTTGTTCAAGCTGTTCTGATGTTTAAGGCGGTCCAAGATTCTCCAAAACTATTCACATATGTTTCATTTTCCTGGAAGGTTTATTAATCCATATTATTACTGAATGTTTCCTATTTTTGTTCGGATAGACGATTTTTACTGCCAGCCGGAATAGTATTCCGTGGCTAAAGGAATTTGTTGGAGAAAATTACTTTGTAGTTTCAATGTTCTCAGTGAAACGATTCAAGTTTCCTAGCGGCAAAATTTAAGCGGCTTTTATTGAGGTCTTCAAAGTATAATTTGGAGGTAAACTAAGAAGTTATTTACTGTTGAAAACATTTGCCTTTCCGAAGTTTTAAAGGGTGCACCTAAAGGCCACGTATGGGTCTTCAATTGAAAAATAACTTAAATTTGATGACCAGAAACTACCACAACATCAGAATCACCTGTATGTACATAATCTCCACAAACCACACATTCTTGTAAAACCAAAAATGTCACTTCTGATGACCCCAGCCTAAAATCTATCCAGGAACCTTATAATGAAACTAGAATACCTTTAAGAGCCACGCAATAACCCATAAAATCGCCAATAAAGTTTTTGGAAACTTAAAAACATTCATAGACCACACAAAGCGTGTTCCAGGTAGATGCATCTCTGAACACTATTGTGTATGGCTTTCCAGAAGATAGTGTAAAGCCCTAAACAGCTTGATTCTTGAGCATTTGGTTATCTCTGGCTACTGTGCTCCACGGGAATCTTCTTTCAAAGTCATTTATAAAGTGAAGGCAAATATTCTAAAGTGAGTGCGTATTAGCCACCTCAACACAGTAGAAACTCTAGAAATCCACCATTACAAGCCTACTCCTCGTGTTCAAAAAAGATACATTCAATCTCTAACTTTGCTTTGATCTTAATCTTCCTGTAATAGTTTATTCATTTCTTTGTTTATTTACTATAACTATAAACAATTCTTGATGACCTTGATTTGAAGACTCACGTGTTTATGAAGCTGACATACACATAGATCAAATCTTGCACTACAGTAGCAATCCAACAACGCATAAAATTAGTTGCAAGCAAACTTTATTCAGAAGAGCTAGAACACTCTAAATCGCAGCCACTTCACGCAGTAATGAAAAATATTAAATGATGATTGTGCTACAACTTTATTAGAGAATGCCTATCCAGTTCATCATCAATTTCAAAGTCATCCACAGAAATCAGCCAACGCATTATTCGAAGACATATGAAGAGTATACCAGAGATCACGACAAGACTACTGAGACAACCCTACTAATAATGACAATAATAATAATTACTTTATTCCAAATAATTTCAGGCACAATTCTGAATTTCCAGCATGTAATACAAATTACTTTACATTTAAATTATGTAACTAATATTAGTAACGTGGAAAGATCTTAACATTAATGGTTAAAATATTGGGAAGACTGATTATCTATTGTTACAAAGTTGACAAGTGGGTTCTGTTCTAATGCCATTTTCCCCACACAAGATACGTGCTAGGCAAAGCACAGTCGCATTCTTGTATGTAACTGACAAACGCACAACCTTATACGGTCTCTTTTTGACTCCCTAAGAAGAGAGCTGTAAAAAGTGTGAATGCTCGGTATCAGCTAAAATTACTGTAGCCAGTTGTCTGCTAGAATTAAAAATGTCTGTCAGCTATAGTGTTTGTCATCTGAGCCAGAGGCGCAGCACGTACATTCTACTGACAGCTTTCAAAACCCTACGCCATGTAACATAGCCCTTTTTTTAATAGACCGGGAAGAACCAACGGGGAATAATAGATAAAAATAGGTAAAATACAGAAATTAATAAAGTGTAAAGTAGAGGCTGAGTTAGACCGAACAGTCTCAGTTTCCTCATGGAATACGTTAAACAAAGAAATTCCATGGAAGTCAACAAGATATGAGATGACGAAGAAAGATCAGAAGTAAAACTCAATCCAACATAGTTAACACTCGATTTACTTTCTACAGCAATACCATCAATACAACTAGAGTTATCGAAACTTATCAGCCCATAAAAGTCTTTTTTGCGCCTGGGACTAAAATTAACAATCTAACATTTCGGAAAAAAGACCATTGGTCAGTTTAAGACAAGTTACCATTAAATTGAGAATAATCTAAGTGAGAGTTAACTGACACAAACTGAAAAGTCATCACCATTCATAATAAAATTAGTTTCAACAGAAAAGGGTAAATCATGCGAAAAGAACGAAAGCAGAAACGGATAAAGTACAGCAACTTAAGGCACAATGGTTTCAGGAAGCAATGAAGTTGAGCTCTTCCATTTGTAAAAGGCATACTGTTTTCTTTCAGAAAAATAAGAGTGCAACCACTTTGTAACCCGTAGCTTAGTACAAGTAATGGTGAGCTTACTTAAAAAGAGTGGTCCGATTAGAGTTCAAGAAGCTACAGTGAATATAACACCTTTGTCTAGACTAGAAACAACACTGTGACGCAAGACAGTGGTAGACTCTAAAGTACTTCTGTGTTTGTAAGCAAATTATTTCGGATCTCTAAAAGCCTTCAATGAAGGTTCGAGTACAAAGAGAAATTTTTTTCTACACTGTTTTCAAAAGAGGGGAAGTTGTAGCGATGGGTCGAAACTTAACATCTGATCCAGAAGATGACATAGGCACAGATATCATCTTCCAAGCAGCGGGTATCGAAAAACGATGGATTAAAGATATTTGTAAGCGACTGACATAAAATATCTGCACATTTTCTAGATGTATTATTCGAAAAACCACCAGGACCTAGTCTCTGGGATGCATGCAAGGATTTAAGACATTCAAAAACGTCATTTGTAATAAAACCAGGAAAGCAACCATTCATTTGACTATGGACACTACGAAGGATGAAATCAGTTTGCCGACGTAAAAATGACTTCTCTGACGCGCAGACATCCAAAAAAGCTTCTTTTGTTATCTGTTTTTCACTAGTTGGCTTTCTGAATAGTTTCCATATATTGGGAGAGCTCTTACACGGTGGAAGCTTCTGGTGGTATTTGGTATTTAGAGGTTGTATTTCAGACTTAACTAGGGAGTTATTTCTTTTAACGCCAGGGTGATCTCTCGGAGCCTCTTAAGATGAGGAGAAGAAAGCCTTTCAAATTCCATATCGATTGTTTCGGTAGGGCAGCATGTGTCGAGACAGAATCTGAGATGGCTCGTGATATTAGTGATAGTGTTATCTAAACCTTCATCAACAAATATATCCTCGTCTGTTTCTGTGGGCACACTTCTCAGACGTAACATATTCTCCTGTGAATAAAATCTGCATTGCACTTTCTTGGAAGCGTGTTTAAAAACATTTTTATATAACTTGCCAGACACTACAGACAAAACATGTACAATACAGTAATCAGAGTTCAGCAGAGTTCGTTTGCAGGCTTCGTATATGTCAGAGTCATTTGTAAACAACAAATCTAGTGTGTTTTCAAGAGGAGTAGAAACACTAACCAGATTTTCATGACCCAGTGATACAAGGAAACTGCAGTCACATGAACTACTATCACCTTAGACTATAAATAAAGAGTTACGCAGAATCAGAGCAGAAAATTCAGTGAAATTTGATAAATCCAAGAAACTGCAGTCATGTGTGACATAAGTATTGTTATGTTTATATGTTTGTATTTGCTCAAATGTTCAGAACGACATTTAATGGTAATGTAGTCAATTTTGTCCTTGGAGAAGGTCAAGCGTAAATAGTTGGAGGGGGATCTAGTTTGTATCGATAAATGTTGGTACACCCTCACCACTCTTCTTGGAAAAGCTTGGATGCTGTCCAAATAATTTGAGACTGTTTACATAAACTAAATCGTCATCATACAGCTTATGAGGCCATGTTTTCTGCAGCATTAACATGTGCGTTTCGATAGTCATTTGTGGACAAGAGTGTCTGAAGGTAAGCAAGCTTCTTCGATGGGGACCTGGAATTTGTGTTAAGTATTTTCAGAATTATCATTTGATTTATTGTCATATTCTCGAGAGCTTGTTGCCATCCACCATAGTGCTTTTTCTTAATTTGCCTATTGACTTGTATGGTAATAAGGTGTAATGATTTCAAAAATATGGGAGATTCTATAACACGATTAGGGGAAATAGTTGAATGGTTAAAGCAATGAAGAAAGGGGAAAAATAATACAATTTATTCTATGGTACAGTAAGTTAGCCCCAAATTTCAAATGGACCGCCATCTGTTTTCCTTCGGTGTGGCTCGTAAACTAACAAATTCTCTTCAGACTAGTTGGTGCTAAAGTCAAAATACAAAACAAACATTACCTACAAGATCATTTGAAACAGCTGTGATCAGCACTACATTAGACAGAGTGATCTGATTCTTCTCTTTCCTTTGGATGAACAGTTGGTTACGGAACGTCACCATATTCCGTCACCCATATCGTTGCATTTGGCCTACTATGGACAGGAATGTATGGGCTTAATTTGTTAACGAATAAGGAAAACAATAAACAGCTACAAGGTCAGAGGTCAAACATGGAGTTATCATTTAAGAAAATCTGCCGAAAGCTACTGAATCATTGGCGAAGAAGTCTACATAACTCACTTCATAATGAAGCTGTTGTTATCTAGAAAGACAATGAATGCTTCACGATTTAACCATCTCACTCAGTGAACGTAACACAACCACGACATACCCTAACCTTGTAGTGAAGCCATCAATCATACTGCAACATTATTTGTCGTATTTCTGAGAGACTAGGAGTATTAAAATATGAACAAATTATTTCCTTTTTTTCAGCATTACAGTTTTCTGTGATTAGATCCAATAAATTGTAAGTGGGTTTTAGTAGCCTCGACCACATCAAGTTGGGTTTTTTTGGTTAAACTCATCATTATTGTGGAAAACAATTTCAGTAAGTTAGACTTTATAAGATGGTAATGAGTTGTTTTCTTATCATTATTATTTTTTAGCTTATATCTGGTACATATTCTCCTGTTCAACTGGACATTACTACATTGAAAGGAATCCCTTTTAACGAAGTGATAATTATAAATAATTCTCCGTTAAGACCACGTTATTATAAATCAGTACTGCCGGATGTTAGCATAACACAATGTTTAGTTTGTCATAAAGTAAGATTTGGTTATATCATTTACTTTCTGACATGAAATTATGCCGTACTGTGTGAGTTTAAAATTTTATTCAGCGTAAAACTTTGGTCTCGAAGTGGTTCACTAATTTTGTAATTTTAAGATGATTCAATGAATTTCAGATGAAGCATTTCTCAGTGTAGCATATGTTTAATTCTTTGTGCTTAATGTGCAAGGAGATCTACCTAGCTGAAATAATTTACCAATACATCTTCTATTGCTTGCTATGTAAGAAGAATCATTCCGAATGTCGTTAGTCGATTATTAAAAATGACTACTACAACATTTTTTGTCAAGTATATTCGTAATTTCACAGACCAGCCTATTACAAGTTTGTGATATACTAAAGACTTATGAATCAGATAACAGTATTTTGTGTAAGTAGTCATCGACAAGATAGCACTTCGTACTCAGCTGAATTATCGTAGAAATTAGCATGAATATAGGCACTTTTTTTCTGTTGCTCTCCATTTAGGGGATATCGAATTTACTAATATATATGATAAAAAGCAACAATCTGAATAAAGAATATTCTTCTCAATAAATTCTCTTCAATTTAAAATTATAAATTTGTACAGCGTATAACCAAGCCATGTTATGGGGCAGATACATTTTCAAAATGGAGTGAGATTTAGGGATTGTAAGGAAATCGATTTATCTTTTTAAAATTTGTCAATATTGGGATGATATATATTCAGAAGAATAATATAATATTAAGCAAAATGATAACGAATAAGATGCCAGGAGTGGCCTTTAGTTTGCTAAAAGCCAAGGGAGAAGTAACTCTTGGACATGTTGTTTCTGAATTCAGAGTTCAAGCGTGATCAATCTTATTGAGACATCATCCGCTATGTTGAGCAGGCGTTGGTGAGTTACATATGGTGTCGTTTTTGAAACGCAATCAATGACCTTGAAACCTTTATTGGCATCTATGTGATGCCTCGTGTTGACTAGATGGGCTAAGACTGAACTTTTCACCACTTTTACTTCACCCTTTCCGAATCAAGCTGGTAAGAGCTCTCGTACCCAGAGACGCACCTGCCTAATTGTACACCCTATGTAACTAACTCTACAGGAACAGTTAAATTGATATATACAAGACAAAGAACTAAGATTAGGTAGGATATCCTTTAGTCTCCGACCAAGCATTGGTCGACTACTGAATAATATTCAAAGCTGACCTGCATAAAACGTATTGTTAACTGCTCTAGCTAGGCGTTAAGATGAAATTTCACTTGCAACATCTCCACTTGAATTGTAAATACAGAAACAAAGGCTTCTGTTCCACCATCATCAGTTTTCCTTTAGGACCAATATAGTTGATGTTAGCTCTGATGAACTTATCCGAATATCGGTTTTCACTCAGAATACCACAGATACACAGTAATTCTTTTTCCATACACTCCTTGGAATAAATCAGTCTTACTTTAAATGCCTAGTACTTGATTATATTAAATTTGTACTGCATCGGTACGAAGCTGAGAAAATGCGTATACTGTGCCTTAAATGTTGGTTTTCTGTACATACTTCTTAGCATACAGCCATCTTCTTTCCTTGACATTTGCATATCAAGAAAATGTATCGAATCATTGACTTCATTTTCGTATGTAAAATGAATTGATGGATTAGTGCTGCTGAAATGGTTCAGAATGGAATTAATACATATGCATCTATCAAAGACGAAAAAAGTATCATCCATGTATCGACAGTACAACTCCATATTAGCAGTTTGATCTTTCAAAGGATCATTTTCTAATTTTGCGAAAAATATGTCTGCAAATATTGGTCCCACTCTATCAACTTGTCTGTACAGATTAGTGTTGAAGATGAACTGGACATTCATTGAACATTTTAATAATAGTTTTTTTTCAAAATTACAATCATAATACAAGTGTCTAATTTTCTTTTCAATGATTGTTCACAAATATAATCGACGTATTCCTTTATAGGGACGTTAATAAACAAAAAGGTGACATCTAAGGATGCCATGCATTTATTTAAAACATTCAAGTTTTTTATTTTGTCTATAAGCTGAAAGGTGCCTTTTACGCTATATTTTGCTAACTGGTCTCACAAAGGTCGAAGTAATCATATTAGCTACTTAGCGATAGTATGGTAGGGCGAGTTGGTCATGTCTAGGATAGGGCGAAGAGAAAACTTATGTTTGTGTATTTTTGGTAAATCATGCATCCATGGAATCGTGCCACCTATAAGCCTTAAGTTTTCAAATAAGGTTGATGAAATGTATCCGTCATCCTCCAATTTCTGCAGTGAGACGATTAAGTCATTTTCTTTTTCGATCAGGTCTTTCTTTGGCTGTAGTTTCTGAAGTTTGCTTTTGTTTTGAAATGTTAAATCCATTTTTTGTAGATAATTAACTCTGTCCATACTAACGACTGCAACCTCACCTGGTTAACTAGTTCACTAGTTACCAGCCGGTCCTAAGCCCGGGTAAAGAGGGAAATTTGGGCATAGGGCTAACAATCCTACCACAAAAACCATTCAAATCGCTAAAGAAACTTCTAAGCACAAAGAAATTATAAAAAATGAAAACAAACTTATTCCTCACTGGAATCGGAAAGACAAAATGATGCCGGTTGATGGGAGCCATTGGGAAGCCAATCGGCGGTTGGGTTTTCTCTCTCCCGATCAAAGCGAAAGTAAGGATGGGGACATGGAATGTTCCCACTGCATTTGAATCCAGCAAGGCTTCTTAAGTTTTAAAGGAGATGAGAAGGTATAGCACTGAAGTGCTAAGAGTCTGCGAAAGCAGAAAGAAAGGAAGCGGACTTTCCAAACTGTCAACTGGAGAGTCAGAAATCTACTCCGGTCATCCGGACAACAACCACGAGCACATTGAGTTTTGAAGTGGTTTTCATGATTTCTCCAAGAACATCGAAGGCTCTCAAGCAGTGGGAACAAATCTCCCCCTCCAGGATCAGGATCATGACAGTAAGATGGATTCAACTCAAAAGGAAGGAAAGTCATAATCATATAATGCTACGCTATGCACCGACAAATAATGCAGATCAAGAGAAGACGGAGAAACTCTACAGACAACTACAGTCAGCACTGGACAAGACTCCAGTTGGCGACACCAAAGTTCTAATGGGCGACATGAATGTCAAAGTGGGAGCAGACAACACAGGAAGAAAACCACTCGGTGAAGTGATGGATGAGAATGGAGAACTGTTTGCAGACTTCTGCGCATTCAATTATTTGGTGATTGGAGGCAGTGTGTTCAAGCACAAGGATATTTACAAAGCGACATGAACTTCACCAGATGGATACACTACACTAAAAATCATATCATATAGCCTTTAAAGAAGTTGATGATAGACAACCACAGTTGAAGTTGAACACCCAGAACAGAAAGTGAAAGATGAAACTACAAAGAACATCTTCACGTCAGCCATCAGAACAAAATGAGAAACACTGAGCAACATCCCTGAAGGATTGGCGTGGAAGAACACTGGAACTATCTGAAAGCTAGGTGGAAAGAATATATGCATAACCGTACTAGGAAGGAAGAAGAAAGAAGATAAGGGATGGATCTCGACGGACAAACGGAAGCTGATAGAGGAGGGAGAGGAAGATGGTGAAGCAGAAGATAAACCAGTGCATGGATGCTCAACGACAAGAGGAACTGAGTATAACGTACAAAACACTGAACAAAGAAGTAAAGAAGAGTGCGCGCAAAGACAAAAGACACTTCTACGACACACTGGCAAGCGAAGCAGAACAGGCTGCTGGTAGGAGAGGCCTGGTAGCATTATATCAAATAACCAGGTTAATCTGTTAGAGGGGAGAGATCAGCGCAGACGGAACCAATGAGAGATAGTGAAGGAAAGCTATTTAATAGACCACCACCACCTGTAACTTATTCAGAAATACCACCACAGAACTACCAGTGAGCACAAGCTTTCCGACAAAAGCCGAAGTCCTGAATGCCATAAAACTGCTGAAATTCGGCAAAGCAGCAGGACCAGTGGAAATTCCGCCAGAAGCATCGAAAACGGATGAAGAGAGACAACAGCGGATATGCTCACACTACTACTGCAGAAAGTCTGGAAGGAAGGAAAAGTACCTGTCGATTGATTGGAAGAAGGACTACCTTGTCAAACTCCCAAAGAAGGGAGACCTAAGTCCTTGCAAGAACCGACGCAGAATCATGCTCCTGTCCATCCAAAGCAAAATATTAAGCCGCATCATCCTGGAGAGACCAAAGGATGTCCTGGATTGGCTGGCTTCAGGAAGCACAAATCATGTGCGGACCAAATTGCAACGCTTCTCTACGTATCATCATAGAATAGAGTATAGAATGGCAGTCAGCTCTCTACCTCAACTTTATCGACTTTAAAAAGGCCTTCGACAGAGTCGACCGAGAAGTAATTTGGCAGTTGCTTCATCACCACGGTGTGCCACAAATCTTTATCAATCTCATTCAACAGCTATATGAAAAAGCCACATGCCCACTGATTCACAATGGAAAGCTCAGCGGTGCCTTTGAAGTAGACTGGAAGGAGTAAGACAAGGCTGCCTACTATCACCCATGATCTTCCTGATCGTAGTCGACTGGATCATGTAGCAAACCATGAAGAACGAGATGGGCATACGCTGAACTGATGAGAAGACCCTAGAAGATTTGGATTTCGCCGGTGATGATTTATGTGTGATTTTGCACAAACTTGAAGGTCTGCAGGCAAAAACCAACAAGTTGGCAGAAGAGGCGCGGCAGCGAAGACAGGACTTCCTTCAGGTGAACACAGAGAAGACAGAGGTGATGAAGATACCCAAACAACAACAACATCAACAACAAGCATCATTCACCATGAACGAGAGAAACCTAAATCAAGTTGTCTCTTTCACCTGCCCGCCTAGGTAGGCAGCATAGTTTCAACTACAGCTGGCACAAGCGCAGATGAGAATGTCAAAAGCGGGATCGGAGAGGTAGCAAGACGGGCTTTCATTAACCTGAATCACTGTGGTGATGTACTGCACTCAGCATAAAGCGTGAAGAATATATGGATTTTCAACACTAATGCCAGTCAAGTTAGTGCTTCTATGTGATGGTTCAGAAACTTGGCGTGTCACGAAAAGCAGTTCCAACAAACTACAGACATTCATCAACATCTGCCGCCTACACTCGATACTGAAGATCAGATGGCCAGAATAATAAGAATAAGTAACAAGAAACTCTGGCTGGTAACGAACCAGCCAGCAACCTATCACCCAACAAATACGCAGAAAAAAAGTGGAGACGAAGTGGATTCGGCATACACTGAGAAGGTTGATTGGGGACATGACACGTCAGGCCAGTTGCTCGAGTGGAATCCAAATGGGAAACGACGAGTTGGGCATTGGTACCGAAGGTGACATTGGGATGGTGTGAGAAAGAAATGAAAGGTTTTGGGCAGTCGTGGAGCCATGTTGAAAAGACTGTAAAGAAGAGAGTGCAATGGAGGCGTGCTACCGAAGCCCTATGTTCCACTAGGAACCCAGGGGAAAATAATAATGATAATAATGACTGCAGCTCCTTTCTCAGGCCTTGTGTATTATCTGATACTACTGATAATGATTAATGATTCCATTTCCAACTGAAGGATTCAGGGAAAATACTCTTTCATAGGATGTAACTGTCTTATTCTTGTTATAATAAACGTTGCATCTTGAAACTGACTAAATTTTAATGTATTCATCATGAGAACTGCCATCATGGTATCTGTCTTTCATGGAATTATGAGTACTGAAGAGTAGTGAACTAGGGTGAGACAGGTTTTTATTACTTCCAGGTTCCCAACTGTTCTGTTTCTGGTAACATTCAGTGAAGATAACTACTTTGAAATAAGATCAAGAAGTTTCATTCAATGAAAATTTTTTGATACAAGTATAATTTAACTTTAAATACAATCCGGCTATTATCATTCCTTTAGTTTAAGTTATCCAAGGTATTATAAATATTTTGTAAAATAGCTTAACTAACCTGAAAAAATTTTCTGTTATTTTTCAGCTTTTCTATTCTGATGATTATGAATTGGTATCATTGCAACAGGGTCGTTGCCCTTATTGTCATACACCGAAAGAATAAAATAACAAGGATTTACTCGAATATGCAAGCATAATTGCAGACAAGTGGACTGTTTTGCCTATTAGTCAAAATATAAACGTACAATGAAGGTGTTGTATAAATACTACCTGTCAAGTTAATATATTTGCTATAAACCAAACAAAAATCCCGCCAAATATGCTTTCTTTATTAAGATTCCAATTAAACACATCAAATAACTTCTTATGAACAATATTACCACCTATTACACCATTAGTGTTATTGTGTGTCTTATGGATTTACTAAAAGATTTGGTTAAATCTGTTGATTGTAAAATGCTTCCTTTGTTATGCCGTACATTTTTGTGAATATACAGATATATACATGTATTCAGAGTAGAATTGTGGAATTGTCTCTCCTACCTGCCATCATCACTGTCATTATTATTAGCACCTGTGTTACGTCGACTGTGGATATTTTGCTTACGATTTCTTACAAACCTATTGATACATTTAGGTGTGTAGTAATTCAGATGTAGCGCCTTCATTATGTGTCTATTCCTTTACCTCAAATTCTCTGTTCAGCTAATAAGCTGTTTTGCTCTATTAATTAAGCATTTAGGGAGAAATGATTTAAAGTTTAAGTAGTGATTCCAACATGAAGGCTTTCTATTGGCGCTAATCTGTAAAATTTCATCTCCCTTTCTTTTAATCTTGCAATCTAACATTTCTAGCTCACCTTCATGACTTTCTAAACTATAGGTGAACTGGATTTCGTTTACTACTGAATTTATAAGAGTAAAAAACTTATTACTGTGTTCCGACTTCAGTAGTGTGAATGCGTCTTCGACATTTTTAAAGTCTACCATCGAACCCATACGTAACATGGCATGCTTATACTGTTACCGTCTCAAGATTGACAACAAAGATATTTGCTAGCACATTACCCGAAAGACTGTCCAGTCTATTGGTAAAGCGTGTTGTAGAATCAAAAATGAACTTCTTTTTCATAGAATAATAGCAGACGTTTGAACTCTGAAATAAACGAAGGGAAACGGTGAAAATATTGTAAACTGATGTTATTGGTTTCATGAATAGGAAACCTTGTTAATCAAGAAGTGAAACTAAAGAGCATCAAGCAATTGTTAAAAGTAAGGCAGTACGGCTTTTAGGGCAACCAAAAATCAAGAGGTTCCTTTTTTATGTACTGTGTAATTGCTCAGCGGGATTTACCCGGACCTGCGAAGGCACTTATGTTTAGAAGAGCAGAAACAAGGCATATCTTAAATCTTCTGAACGCGTGCTTAAGGGCCTATGGTATTGAGGGGGGGGGGATATAGCCACCTCATATATATTCTTGACACAGAACACGAAGTAGGTACCTTTTAGTTCTTCAGGAGTTTCAGCAAACTAAGTAATTTAAGTCTTTTGACTTTTTATGAGGTTATATCTAGCTATCAAATGTTGAAAACTGGAATTATCTTTTCAAAAGGAAGTGGTTATCAGTCCTTGGTTGCTGCAGTTCTTTAGTTTTTACCTCTCCTTCATGTCTCAACAGCCTTAGAAGCAGCTGGTTTCATAAACTTCAATCACCTTATATCTTTATTATCTTTCAGTATAATCAACACACTACTGAGAATCTTATGGCAATACTCATGTATATTCTGTTTGTTTTTAATCGTGAACCTTTTATTTTATGCGTTGCAGAGTAACTTAAGTGAATCTAAAACATGGATGTATGAAAATAATACTACTGTTATTCTTTTGCTTGACTGATAAACATTGTTTCTATCTGAAGGGAAATTTAAAAATATCGAACACTTATTTAATACAGGATTGAACGTGTAGTACAGATCTGAGAATAGGTTCGTTAAGTATTTAGAGTTATTTCTACCACATAAACGGTAAGAAAATTCATGTAGACTGATGAGAATGCAGAGAAATTACAAATATCATGGACAACGACTGATATCTGGCTGTCTTACCCCCGTGGACTAGTTGATAACGCTTTGGCGCTTAAAATGATGGTTTCTGGGGACAAGATCACTCGATGGGGTATAAGTAGTTTTGGCTGACGAGTCCTGAACCGAAGGAAACTCACTTCCTGGATTCCGCTGCTAGTTGCCAACTGGACTACAATGTAAATGTTTGACGTTTTGACTTTTTTCTTTGTTTTATGCATGAACAATTTCGAAGAAAATTGCTCAGTTCAAACAAATGCTTAGAAACAAACAGACTATTTAACAAACGGGTAGTTCAATATTTAACTGAAATAGAAAACGAAAAGATAACTGTGGGAATTAATCACTGGTTATAGGGTGTATCTGCACCATCACAGGTAAGAATATAATATGTACAAGTGGTCAGCTAAATATTTCTAAGTGCTTACTGAATAAACAACACTCATTCTTGAAAAAAAGCTCTATTGCCTCACAAGTGTAGCACAAAGCGCTGTCGCATTTGAAAAACTTCGTGCTGTATCAGTCTAACTAAGAGCTGAAGCATATTGACACACTTTCATCCGACTTGTCCTTAGTGAGATGAAAGTTGTTTCTTACATTTTCGGCATGACTGATAAAGAAGTAACGTGAGTTTACTTGTTTAGAAAGAACCTGATCTTCAAAATATTTTGCATTCATGTTTACACCATAGAATGTATCTTGCAGATCCTTTGATTTCAATTGTAGATAAAATGCTGAGATCGTTATTTTGGAAGTATGATATTATGTACTCACTCATTTTAAGTACATATCAAAATTACGTTAAGGTTGATTTGACAAAATAATAGTTTCAGATTGTTTTGAACAGTAACTTCGGATAAATCTGTCCTAGTGAGGGATACTTCCAGTTAATGCCAAACAGCTAATTGGTGATTCTAAACTTTTTACAACCTCTTCAACATTGACTGCATGCTTCTTCGGAAATGAAACAGGTTGACACGATAACTTATGCGTTTATTACCAAGATGGTGGTAATTTATACATCAGTTTGGTACACTGAAAATCAAGCAGCTAGGAATTCAAAGTAGCAACAGATAATGCACCACACTATATGATGGAAAAGCGCTTGCATCACGTTTTATTTCCCCATCCTTACATAACAACTTCTTATTGGTAAACTTATTCCGTCATATGTTAAACATCAGGTTCAATCTGAGAAATATGCTAAATTACTAAGTCTTTCCACTATCTTGTATAATGTTGAAGGGTGACGCTGTCAACTCGTTCCTCATAGGTAGTTACTAAAAAATATATGTTTTCAGTCATGAATATCTTAATTAAAAATCATGTAACAAAGTCCTTAACTGGTAGTTACTGGCTAACCTATCTTAGGTGATCTTGGTTCGTAAAGTCTTACTGTAAACACAGGGATGATGACTCGTTTTGACGGCAAATATGGATCGAAGCAGAAACAAGACCAGTGTCTTCTGAATTTATGCAGTTTTGAAATTTTTTCTGTTAAAAAGGGAATTTGGGTTAGTTATGATATTTATCCATCTAACTTATACTCTCTAGACTTGTATAGGTTTTGTCTAACGGATAACTTTTGACCGACTTTAATAGTTCCGCTGATACCCTCTTGGAATTGCGTAACTGATTTATACTTAATCTTTCATACTGACTTTGTTAAATAATGTTTAAAGTCAATATTACGAGTCAATGTACTAATGCGAGTGTTCCACACATGGTTACTATCATGTCATATAGCGATAGGATTACAAGATGAGGAATTATCTGATCTCTGTGATCTTTGTGGTTCATCCGTTTACTGATGGTAATGAAGAATCATGCAACATATCTCGGAATAATACTTTTAAGTTATTGACACCATAAATTTATTACTGTTTTCATATTGATACCAATTAAAATTACAGTATATTTGTACCATTTTAAGTATTTTACAGCAATCAAATTTGATTTCATCAAATACATAAACATCATTTATAAAAGGTATCTATGTAAACATGAAGATTTTAAAGAAAGGAATAATTTACTACTGAATGAGATTAGTTATTAGTGATAATGTTTTTCTTAATTAGTCTAAGAAAAAATAACTTAAAATTTTGTTTATTTCACAGTCCTTCATTGCTTTGACCTTTAATAACCATCGTCTTAAATGATAATTTTTTTCGTCAAAGTTATGCCTAAGATCAAATCGTGTTTTCATATAGCTAATTTACGTCAATTCAACAAGTTATATAAGGTTTTTCAATAAAGTTGATCAAAGTTGAGCTGATAATAATGTTGAAGGATGAAGATGCATATAAAGAGGATTTTTGTTAAGCAATTTTTTTCACAATAAAATTTGTTTTAAATCACCTAAGGTTTATTAAATTTAACAAAAAGTATGCTAAAGCTAATAATTACTATCACCATTTTGTTAGGTAAGTCGTTTCTTTTACCGTTCTACTTTCGCTTTAGGATATTTTGAGATAAGTTCGAAAACTCAGGTTAATGGAAGTATTGTCAAGGTAATTTTAGAAAAAATAATATTCTTATCTATATCCGCAAATTATATTTATTTGTAATTTAATAGATATCATTTCAGTATATTGGCAATGAGATTCGATGGAAAGTCTGTATTTGAATGCTTGGATGAATAAGTCAGATAATTAGAGCAGATATGACTTGTTTGTCAAAGAACCATCCCTAGGTCAGTTAATTGTTATCAACAGACGACCTGACTGTTAGCTCAGTACTCTCATTCACCACACTTCACTACAAATAAAAGGCTATGAGGTGAAAATCAAGGAGTTGTGAACCTAGTAGTCAAAAGTCATAGACACCGGTAAAACAAAACAAAAAAGAGTTTAATTGAGTGATAAAGTTTGATTGCAATGAGTAGGACTAAAATAAAGAGCGGATGCATTTACGTGTCTGTGGTCAATACTAAACCAGGTCACCGTTTGTCTCCGACCACTGATTTCGGCTATCACTCAAGCCTCAGTTTATCTATCTCAGGCCAGCATCTAGATACTTTGTCAACCATGGCTGCACTTTGGTCTGACCACCTTTTCTCTTTTTCTAACATTAACCTACTTCACCTTACATAATCCGTGGGACAAAGATGAATAAACATGCCACACACCATTTAAACAAACGAAGATGTATGATCATATCAACCGACTGACCTATTTTAATCCAGACTGTGAGCCCAAACTTTTCATTACTAAACTATTGTTTTCATGAGATGCGGCCGGTGCTTACAAGGTTGCTGTTATTAAATGGCTAGAACCTTGTTTTGTCCACTACCTTTAGTGGCTGTGTTTATCAACCTCGGTGAACTGAACAGCTATCCAGTTGACCCTTAGTAGACTATCAGATATCTCATCAACATCACAAATGACAGAATCTCAAAAAGCAGTCGAGAATTTTTTACTCCTGCTGAGATTTCGCTGATCACTAATTCAACAGCAGTGATCTGACTTCCTCAGCGGGGTTGTCAGTGGGCTAAACCAGTCCTGTGGCAAAATTTTGAGTCAGGGTGATGAGAAACGTATTCAACACATTTTGAAACTGTAAATCAAGGTGAACGGAGGGCTTTACATCTTTTCAGCATCTTTGTCAAGAAGAACAATATCTTCTACTAACTCAATGTAATCAGAAATCTCCTACTAGGAAATCAGACTTTATGGAGAGGAAAGAAAAAGATTTCATAGTTACGTCTGTGATCAAGTTGAACAAAAATAATGTAAACATCCCTCATGAATATTTCTTGCCAAAGAAACCTTAATGCATAGGTCATGAAAGACTAACATTGATCAGGTACTGGGTATTAGGCCTTGTTTGAGGTACACTGCTCTAAGACAGTGTTCATACTTGCTTTTGGAGCAAAAAAATCCAGCTGATGTAGGTTAGCTGTACATATAAAAGACCAACGATTAGGCTTTTTCGGCTTGATTCTCACCATAGATACTTATGGGTGATGGTTACACTTCAAAAGCCTATTCGAAAACAAATCTTAAATAATGACTGACTTTTTTCTAGTTAACCAACAATATAAATATAAAGTGTTCAAAATATGCGCCAAAAATTGAAGCACAAAACGATTGTAGCTTTTTTCTGGAGTTCGCAACTATGCATACTACTTGCTAGTGGCACGCCTTCTCCTGGCAGTTGAAAAATCACAATCATTTTTGATAGAGGGGATTCAGAAATCTTCTGCCTAAATTTTCCTTCACTTGCCAGCTTACTGCTAATTCTCTCTATTCCGATTCGTTCTTTTACATTGGCAATGAGTCTTACGTGAACGATTTCATATTCTCACTGTAAAGCATTTAACCTAATCATTGACTCATTTGTAAAACTTTGCCGAACACCATGGTCATCAGGACAAAAATTTATAGTTCATTACCATTGTAGGAGAGGACGGAATTAAACGCTTCATAAACTATTCAAATTGATATCATCTGTAGTGGGCGCTGCTGATCAAAATGGATATAAGTAGTGTGTGTTGAAAGGGTGGTAGAAATCATAAGGAATTACCAGTAATCGGCAAAGGCTATGCCGAGAAAAACGAAAGAGACAATATGAGCGTATTAAGAGTAAATCAAGAGAGAAGTAGAAGAGGGAATGAAGCACATTGTGCAAATGACTGTCTTGGTGGAAAGTGTACAATATTTGATGACTACTGTAAAAAATACCAATAATTAACATTCCTTCCTGCGTCTCAGTTTTCTCGTTTTCTACACATCTTGTAAAAACTAGTACATTAAGTAATGTAGGTGATTATTCAACCCAGTCGTTTCGACACAGCTGTCTAGTTCATCACTTAAAGATTGCTGAAATACAATTTTTGGCTCAAGATTGTTTACAGAGTTTCAGTAGATAATTTCCACTCATATATTTGAATCAATTTATTGCTAATGAATAGATTGTTGTTGGAAAGCTTCAAGTAATTTCGAAAATTTTCCTTTTATTTACTTGAAAGTATACAGTGTTTAAAAAGAGTAGGTATGCTATGTGTAAACAACTCAAACAAGCTACTATAGTTTTGCCACCTAGTTGCTAACCCGGATCAAAAGTTATATTGAAAAACAACCTTTGTTGAAATCAAAATATTAAGTATTTCAAGTTGTTATTCATCACGGATTGATATGAGTTAGAGAACTACCAGAAATTTGAGAACATTGAACAGCTATTTCATTCGAGCACGGAACTCCACATCAGTGCACACTCATGGTCCTATCGAATTTTGAGCATATTACCCTCAGGTTTAGTGGAAAGCACATTATTACTGAGTCATTGTGTCAGAGATTAAGGATTTACATCTTCCTACTTCTGTCAATTTGCGATATAACGTGACCTTCATCCGATTCAGTCGTTGACTATTTTTCCCCACATCGGACTTGGTGTGACCCACTGGTCAGGGCTTTTCAGTGGAGTTTTAAAAAAGTGTCATCTGGAAGCATGCCACTAATGAACAATAATTCCGTATGGATTTTGGTAAGAAATTATTGATTTCAAGTTGCAGAACCAATAAAATGTTTTTGGGATTACCTAATATGACCTATTTTCCTGATTTTCTCCACAACATTCACTGCATCTTATTGTTTGATTGTTTAACATCTTCCTTTAAATGTATCAGAACCTTATAAGCATCTAGCAGTAACGATTTCACCATGAAAATACAAATTAAAGTCACTCCAACAAATGCCCATGATAAAACTGAAATGGTTGAGTATAAAAGTTAAACACTTGGATGGAGCAAAGTGTTAAGTTTGTTTCGGTTATCGTACTTTGTTGTCTCACCTTTAAACTCAGAGAATTTCATTATATTAGAAAATAATGACACTGTAGTTATAAAAGTCAGTTTATAGTTGTAAATTCATTGTAAATTATCATTTAATGTTATTCTGTTCTGTGCAGAAACATCATTTATCTTAATCAAAAATGCCACCATGTCAGCTTTTTGAATATTTAGACAGTTTTATTGCTCCTCAAGTTTTAGATTCTCTTAAACTCTTTCAGAAGGCATGCTAAAGATGACACTTAGACTAGTGGCAATTCATATGTTTTTTAGAAACTGTAACTCATATGTTCTACTCATGTAGGCATTACTTTAAAAAACTTTTTATTGCATTCCATTTATTATCGGTGAAGAATTTAGAAGTTTTCTTTACTTTGATACAATGCATAACATATATGGTGTATGAGCTTGCCGTTTTGCAGGGATTTATTTATTCCAAGTTGATATTCATCATGAAATGATTTCAAATGGGAGCTATCCAGTGCTCCCACGTTTCCATTGGTTTTCCAACTTATTTCAGTTCTTGGTGGAGACCAACTCTAGATTTATAATGTTTGTTGCCAGATTCAAATGAAATTTGTGTTTGTGATGTGGTAGATTTTACTATTGACTATGTATATGTTTTGATGGCTGAAATTATATCTAGTTCTGGTGATGGATAATCATTCCATAAGCAAGAGCAAGGTACGTGTACAGAAAAATCCGGATATTTTCCTAATTCAGTCAAAAGACCCCTGGTTTAGTCTTGTGATATGAAACATCTATTCAAAACTAATGACATAAAGACACAGAAACAGTAGATTTGGGAACTGAATTATAATATATGTTAAGTTAATATGAGTTTATAATACACATCACTCTTAGTCGGAACAGTAGTCTTCATTTGCTAAAGTATTATGACTGATCATCAGGAGTTTTTTAACCTAAACATGAGTATTTCGACTGGGTGATGATTGAAGGTGAAATGAAAATTTGGACGTCAACTGCATTCAAACCAGCGATCACCGAGTTTCCTGCCCTATAGTTTTACCAACTTAACTACGAGCTACATGAAATTCGTTGCTGAGTTGGCAGATTATCAGGTCAGAAACTCGGTGGTCACTGGTTTGAATATGGCCGCAGTCCGAATTTTCATTTCACATTGAATCATTACCTAGTATCAATACTAGTTTGCCAAACAAGTCAAAATGATGATGAGTATTTCCATTTGAAGTTAATATGCTAACTGCCATGTATATTATGCACCATGATGGCTGCATACTAGCCTACATTCCAGTGAATTTGAAAAATCAATATCAGGGCTTTCAATGTTAACAGCTATTATTTCATAAAATGACAGAAAAAATTTGTAGCTTAGAATGAGGATATTGATGATTTTGTGTTCTTTGAGTTTTGATATTCTGTTGTGAAAGTTTCATCATCAAGCACAGTGACATCCTTAGAACCAACTACATAAAGAATTGAAGCATATACGTTAGGAAATAATACCACTGAATAATTAGTTTCGAAGCCACTAAAAAGCAAAACACAAGGTAAATGAGTCAGTCAGTGTATCAGTCAGCAAATGAAATAAATATTAGTTTCTGTTGTAACCGCCTATTTTGATGGGATTATCCGCAGTTTCCAATAGATTTGGATAGAAACATTATGTTGTGTTCATTATTTCAATATTTAGTTTCAGTACAATATCAATAAGTTCATCATTTCTTTTTCAGATGTCGAAGGGTGATAAAAATATTAAGAGCGAATTCAGTAAGTCTCATGAACTCATTTATTTAAATTACATAAGTGACTTTAAAAATTGTGATTACTGTCTCAGAATGCGAATTACAGTGTGAAATAATATAGAAAAGAGTTAAAACCACTTTCTTTTAACCAAAGATTTCCCTACCTTGGTCATTTTGAGGAATTAAACACTAGAAATTTAAAACCAGATGGAATATTGTGCATGAACCTTCAATGTGAATGATGTATACATGGTTTTTGATGTTGGTTGGTTGATATGAAGGGTTTGAAGTCGTCTAATAACTAGAACAGTATCAACCCCAACAAATGTTTATTTCGCAGAACGATGCTAGCAAACTGGGTTGTTCAAGTTTTTATTTTAAAATTGAACCATTCCCCTACTTATTTCTTCTTTAGATAAACAACACAATAAAGCAGTGTTACTCACTGGATGATATTTTGACGTAACCTATTTGCTATGTTCTGTAGACTTGATAGGCTTCTTAGTAGTAATCTGTGTGCCACTTATCATATTATGAATGAAAGGATTTCGTTTTTTCACTCGTCCAACTAACAAACTTACATAGAGTGAACTGTGGTCCAACACATAAGCCCTGTAGTGGACCCAAAGAATGTCAAGTAAACCAAAGTGACAAACCACTTATAATTTACAAGAAAAATGGATCTGATGATACATATGTATAGAAGGTTATACGTTATAGCATAAACAGTACTGTCAATGTTATAGATAATCACTGGTTACTTGGAGGTTATCTCTTCGATATTGTTCAACACAATTTTTGGATACTCCAGAGATCAAAAGGCGATACTTGTTGGCTCTCCGCAACGATCGTTGGCCGGCTTGATTATCGTAATATTTAGAAAGAGGATGAGAAGTCCTGTAAAAATCCCAAGACAATCACTTAGTATGCACAACAGGCAATAGTCGCAGAGTTAGAAGCCGGAATATTTAGGAGCACATTATATTTCCACGATTAGCAGCAGCAACCAAAAAAGTGTGTATATAAACAACATTCGTTTTTACAAGTATTAGGAAGAATGTACAGAATGTTTAAAAAAAGCTATGAAAAGGAAATATTGCTTTTCGTTAATGTAGTTTATAAACAAATGTTATGCAGTCTCCACAGCCTTATACTTACGCCAGACAGGCCAAAAATTTTAATTCGTGTATACCGTATTCAAATAAGTGAAATAACAATTGTATACCTGAAAAACTGAAACCCTTCCAGATGTAAGAGGCAAAAGCGTTATCTCAGTTATTATGAACGAATTCTTTGCATACTCTTAAGTGTTAGGCTATCACAACTCTTCTCGATGTTTTAACGGTAGCCTCCTAAAAGTGTTGAAATTGAAAGTAGAGTTTGAACGAGCCGCTCTCTCAACTGAATACTTATTGGTTTTATGATTATTTCCTAAATACTTTAGCATCATTTAGTGTATTTGCATTCCCTGTTATTTACTATCTTTTTACAGTCAACTAACAAACAATTTTGTTGTTGTTGAAATTATAGCTTGTGAAATGTGTATATCATTTGCCAATGTAACGCTGAGCATTTTTCAAGAAGAATTTATTTGGAAAACGTATTTTCTTCTATTCTATCCAAGTTGTTACCTGATACCTTTTCAAAATTACCGTGAGGTGGTAAGTAAAAGTAAAAATCACCATTCCTTTTTCAAACTACTTTAACTTTTGTTATAACCGGTAAAGAGAATGAAAGTGAAACGGTTCAGAGGTTTATCACTGCAAGAGTTTGACGGGGTAATTTATTCTTGATATTTTGATTACTACTTGTGGTTAGCTGTTGTAATAGTTACACTGAGAGTTGTAGGAAGTAGAACTTGATTTCTTTATGTCTTGCTGTGATTAACTCGCTATCTTACTCTCTGGACTTACAAACATAGCTAAGCTTAACTGCTCCAGTTTCAGAAATCTTTTTGCAATGATAGAAATATCAGTGATTCTTTGTCAAAAACTTGTTTTCTTATCACTGCTATTGAAAAATGATTTACTTGAGAACGTGTCATAGAAAGTGGATAATTCAGTATGTATAAGACATATTCAATTACAAGGATATAGTTTTGCAGATCATTGAAAGAAATACCTCAATCATTCTTAACTTGTATAGAATATAACAAGTAACCACTTTGTAACTCATAGACGTTTATAGACTTATATTTGATCTTACTTCGCAAGCATCAGAATTTTGAACAGTCCGAAAGCTGTAATACTGGATTATAAAGCCATAATGGATAAACTTCCAATGATGACAAGGAACGGTCTACGTTTGAATACTGAAGTCTATAAGCAAACAAAAAGCTGTTACAAAAACTACGATGTGAAGATTTTTTCATGGTAAAGGTTATACAGATTTTGTCGTCTTTTCAATTGCCTTTCACTTTAAAATTATCAACACTTAATTTTTGAGGGGGTTGTGGAGATTTGGAAATATTTCAAGTTGTTATTCATCGAAGACTGACATCAGTTGGGTGCGCACTGCTGAGGAGTCCCATGCTAGGACGAAACAGCTGTCCAGTGCTCCCAGGTTTCCTTTGTTCCTGCAACTGATGTCAGTCTTCGATGAATAACAACTTGAAACACTTAATTTATTTTAATCGAGTATTTATCACTAACTGGTGTCAATTGTAGAAGCGTTAAATACTTGGGAGCACTGGACACTAGCTTTTTACTGGCACCGGACTCCTCAGAAGTTTACACCTTGACTCTTTTGGGGGTCAGTCCTAGTAACTTCAGGTTTTGTGGGAAACATGTCGTTATTGAACCGCTGGATAGGAACAATATGGTTAACAACTTCCTACTTCTATCGTTTCGCTATATAGCACAACCTTCATCCGGCGCCACCACTGAATATTTGTAGCAGGTTGAACTTGGTTTGCACTACCGGTCGTAACTTCTTATTAGGAAAACCCATATCGAAACAAGTTACTAATGAGCGACTGGAGGTAATTCAGTTTAGGGATTCAAGGAGATTTATCGATTTAAGTTCGTGATGAATAACAACTCGAAATCAATAAATACTTAAAAATCTCAAAACCAAATAGCTTGTTATTTATGTTAACCTTAAATGAACTAGAAAACCGTAACTGTTGACAACAGACTGTTGTTTTTCACTTTACAATAGTGTGAGCAACTGTTATCTGGTGAGCTAGCTAAACTAGTCGCGATCCATTTCAATGAAATCAGTGCGCCAACATTTTGCTATGTAAGTTGTATTTAAAAATGATTATTCTTGTTACGAATGATCCACTGTACAATTTGTTGAATACTGCTAGGTAAAATAAGTAATGACAGAATACGCTGAGTATTACATCCGAAATTCTCTGATTGAGGAAAGAAGAGAAGAGAATGTAGGATTTAGGCCTTAAGTAGTGACAGAAATTGACCGTGTAGCAGCTATTTATGCAGCTATTCTATGTTAGGAATAGCAATTTAATCTGATACAGCGAATTTTTATTCTTCTCTTTGGTGAGCAGTGAACTCAAAAGGACATTGCTCAGCATAACGAAACACATGGCTTAAGTAAAAAAGGGACAATTAGTTTACATATCACACGACAACACCTTGATCACGGGTATATTTCTATCTATCTGGGCATGCTGGCCTCGTAGCTCAGTTAGTAAAGTATCGGGCTGAGGACCCTATGTTTGCCGGCTCGAACTTGGCTGTGGTCCAGGTTTTCATTTCATCTTCAGTCATCACCCAGTAAAAGTACCAGCCTTCCAAACCATGGCAGATAGTCAAAATGACAATTATTTAAGATACTTGTTGCAAATATAAACACAAGTGATGAAATATATCGGTGAAAAAAGCGATTAGGCAGAAGCAAATCATAATGACCTGATTAGTGACTGGTATAAGTGGATCAACAGTACGATGTTGAATTTGTTAATACTTAGTCATTAAAAAAATTCCGTTTGTTAATCTTGGGAGTTAAAAGTGATTAACATATCATAGTACTTATTTATAGTCAGTGTTGTAATTATGGTTAAATTAAGGTTTTCATCAATTTCGGGGGGCATATTGCATCATTCTTACCTCGCCTGGTTAACTAGTTCACTAGTTACTAGCCGGTCCTAAGCCCGGGTAAAGGGGGAAGGTTGGGCATAGGGCTAGCAACCCTACTCCGTAAAACCAATCCAATCGCTAAGGAAACTCCAAAGCACAGACAAAATATAAAACATAAAAACAAACCTACTCCTCACTGGAATCGGAGAGACGAAATGATGCCGGTTGATGAAAGCCTTCGGGAAGTTAATTACCCGCTGTGTCTTCTGCCCATGAAAGCAGACATGGATTGTCCGCACTATGTTTGAACCTAGCAATGCTGACCAGATTGCAAAAGAGATGAGAAGGTATCGCACTGAAATGTTAGGAATCTGCGTAAGCAGATGGAATGGAAGTGAACTCTCCAAACCGTTAACTGGAGAGTAAATAATCTACTCCGATGTCGTCACACAGACGACAACAACCAGCACAATAAGTTTTCCAGTGGCCATCATGATTTCCCCAAGAACATCGAAGGATCTCAGGCAGTGGGAACCAATCTCCTCCTCCAGCATCGGGATCATGACATCAAGATTGAAATCGAAAGCGAGCAAAGTCACAATCATTCAATGCTACGCCACACACCTACAAATAATGCAGATACGGACCAAGAGAAGAAGGAGGAATTCTACAAACAACTGAAATCAGTACTAGACAAGACCCCAGTTGGTGACATCAAAATTCTAATGGGTGGGGTGACATGAATGCCAAACTGGGAACGGACAACACAGAACGAGAACTATCCATGGGTCGAGAAGCGTTTGTTGAAATGATGGAGAATGGAGAACTGTTTGCAGAATTCTGCACAGTCGACGATTTGGTGATTAGAAGCAGTGTGTTCATGCACGAAGATATTGACGAAGCGACATGGATTTCACCAGACACCAGGACTTAATAAGAATCAGATCGACTTCATCTCAACATGAAGAAAGTGGAGACGCAGCCAGCCTACTTGACACAAGATCAGGTGAAGAAGGGGAGGAGATGTAGGTTCATGCTACTTACTATCTAGTGCAAGGAGCCTGTCTTCAAAATTGAGTTGAGAGTCATCAAATTAGTTGGTGATGATAGACCACAGTTGAAGTTGAATACCCAGAACATAAACTGGATGAGTGATGAAACTACAAAGGAAATCTTGACGTCAGTCAGTCAGTGATCAGAACAAAGTGCGAGATATCGAGGAACAATTCTGAAGAAACCTGTATGAATGAAGACTGTAACTCTTTGAAAGCTATGTGGAACGAAACCTGCACAACCGTATTAGGAAGGAAGAAGAAAGAAGACAAACAATGGATGTCGACGGACACATGGAAGCTGATAGAGGAGAGGAGGATGGTGAAGCAGAAGATAAACCAGTGCAGGGATGAACGACGAGAAGAGGAACTGAACACAACCTATGAAACAATACACTGGACAAAGAAGTGAAGAAGAGTGCGCGCAAAGACGAAAGACACTTCTACGACAAGGCAAGTAAAGCAGAACAGGCTGAAGGCTGCTTGTAGGAGAGACCTGACATGACTACATCAAATAGCCAGGTTACTATCTGGGAGGGAAGAGACCAATACAGATGAGACCAGTGAAAGATGGTGAATGAAACTTGGTCACCAAAAAAAGGAACGAAGCAAACAGTGGGCCAACCACTTCAAAAAGCTCTTGAACTGACCACCACCTGCAGCACAGCCACAGAACACAAACCATCTGACAAAAGTCGAAGTCCTGAACGCCATAAGGTTACCGAAATCCGGGAAAGCAGCAGGACGAGATGAAATTCGGCCAGAAGCACTGAAAACAGGCATAGAGACAACAGTGGACATGGTCACACCACTACTGCAGAAAGTCTGGAAGGAAGGAAAAGTACCTGTCGATTGATTGGAAGAAGGACTACCTTGTCAAACTCCCAAAGAAGGGAGACCTAAGTCCTTGCAAGAACTGACGCAGAATCATGCTGATGTCCACCTGAAGCAAAATATTAAGCCGCATCATCCTGGAGAGACCAAAGGATGCCCTGGATTCAAAAGTACGGCTGGAACAGGTTGGCTGGCTTTAGGAAGTACGAATCATGTGCGGATCAAATTGCAATGCTTCTCTACGTATCATCATAGAACAGAGCATAAAATGACAGTCAGCTCTCTACCTCAACTTTATCGACTTTAAAAAGGCCTTCCACAGAGTCGACCGAGAAGTAATTTGGCATTTTCTCCAACACTACGGAGTACCACAAACCTTTATCAACCTCAATCAATAACTATATGAAGGCGCCACATGCCAAGTAATTCACAACGGGAAGCTCAGTGATGCCTTTGAAATGGAGACAGGAGTGAAACAAGGCTTTCTACTATCACCCGTGATATTCTTGATTGTAATAAACAGTGAGGAGCGAGAAGAATGGGATACCATGGCTTGCATGGGAAAAAGGTCCTAGAAGATTTGGATTTCACCGATGGCTTATGTCTAATGTCACACAAACTTGAAGATCTACAGGCAAAAACCAACAAGTTGACAGAAGGGGTGAGGCAGTGAAGACGGGACTTCAGGTGAATAAGGAGAAGACGGAGGTGATGAAGATACCCAACCAACAACAACAACAAACTCCAATCACCATCAATGGGAGAAACTTAAAGGAAGTAGCCTCTTTCACCTTTCTAGGTAGCACTGTTTCAACTACAGGCGATGGCACAGATGAGGACGTCAAAGGCAGCCAGGATTGGAAAAGCAACAGAGGCGTTCATTAACCTGAAACCAATGTGGAAATCTTCTGCATTCAGCATGTGGAACAAGATGCAGATTTTCAACACCAACGTCAAGTCAGTGCTTCTATGTGATGGTTCAGAGACTTGGCGCGTTACGAAAGGCATTTCCAACAAACTTTAGACATTCATCAACAAGTGCCTAGGCTGGCTCGTTTCTGAAGATCAGATGGCCAGAATAATAAGAATAAGCAACAAGGAACTCTGGCTGGTGACGGACCAACCAAGAAGCTATCGCTCAACAAATATGCAGAAGAAGGAAGTGGAAATGGGTTGGACTGGGCATACACTGAGAATTCCGACTGGGGACATCACGCACCTGGCCAGTCCCTCGAGTGGAACCCAAATGGGAAGCGACAAGTTGGGCGTCCAAGGTTACGTTGACATGGAGGAGATCATGTTAGGAAGAAATGAGAGCTTATGAGCTTCCGTGGGGCCAGGTTCAAAAGCTTACAGAGAAGAGAGTGCACTGGAGACGTGCCAGAGAAGCCCTACGTTCCGCTAGAAACCCAAGGGACAAATAATAAATAACAATAATAATTGCATCATTCTAATCTAAGGTATTTGCGTGATCACGGATACAAAGGTAAGAATCCCAGCACAAGAAAGAATAAGTACAGATCCTTTTAACCCCTTGAACGTACGAGGAGCTCTGAGAAATACGGAGAAACAGCCTAAAAGCTGAATGTGTGAGGGATAGTTGTAGTTACCACTAGGAAGGCATAACAAAACAGCTTACATCTTGTACATATACTGGTTATTAACGCAATAACTATTCACTGTAATATCTGATAATTTTTGAAAAATAAGTCGTAGGTAATTTGAGAAAAATATTCATTCTTATCAGCTGATATTCTGCTCACAAGTGAATGAGTTCTCACTTATAAAGGCCGATTCTACAGAAGTCAATGTAACAGTGATAACTTCACTCTTCAGTACATAAATGAACTCAATGTATACTACCTCATTTTCAAACAAATTCACAACCATCATTTAACAGGCGTTAGTAATGAAAAGTTTATCACTGCTAGATTCATCCTCGAATCCAGGTCCAATCTCTCTGAACGCCTGAGCGTTTTCTACCAGACCACTGGAGCAGAGGTTCCTCCTGGTGAATAACGTCCTAGATTCCACTCCTAGGTACCAGGTAAACTACAATACATATTGCGTATCCAGGTAATATCGAGACGTCCGCTTAGGAGCTCATCTGTCAACAGAGGTCAAACAATCCAGTGTAGCAACAGGAAATCACAAGTATCAGTAAATTACATCATAATTCTTCAGGACGAATGCTTAATTAAAGATTTGAGGTGTGAGCTCATGTTCTACATGCAAATTAATAAAAATGTTTATCATGGTAAATATTTTAAAACTTGATTTGGTTGGATGCAACTACTTGACCTAATTCTGATATGTTCAAAGAGTCATACCTAATCAAAGTTTGAATAAAAGATCTCTTAGTACTATGACAAATATAAACTCAAATTCAATCGAATAAGAGAAGCCTAAAAAACAAGAAATTATCCTGCCAACTTTTGTTATCCGCAGATATATGTCAATAATAACTAAATTCCTCGTCTTTTTATCTATGGTGTTTTAACTTAAAGATATTATTATTTGTTTGTTTTTAGGAAATTTCACTCTGTGAAAGTTCGGCCCAACCTCAAATAAACCATAAGCATCTTTATCTAACAGGAAAGAGTGAATTCTGATGATCTTCTACGTGTCTAGTTCATCTACATGGTCTTTAACACTACAGTTTGTTTACGTAGCTAAATTAAGAAGGAGAATAGAGTTGCTGAAATAACATGCAGAAGTTCTATCTTATCCAGCTTCTTTTTGTTTCGCTTCTCAACTTTTACTAACTACTTCAGTTCTGTGTAATAAAACAATTGTGAACTCAGTTTTAGCAATCTGCAGACCACAGCAAAACATTATGCTAAGGAATTTTTATTTTAATATCCAGCTGACGAGTCCCAAATGGGACGAAGTGCGCACCCTCGATTCCACTGCTGGCCACTGACTGCAAACAGTTCAGTAGTTTTTATCACTTTGATCTCAGTTCACATTTAGACCAAAGTCAATTTAAATTACTCATCGTTATGGACAGTACATTATAATACTTAAGTTACCCTACCAAGAGGTTGTGGTAAAAAGTAAACCAACGGATTAAAGTAAGTATTCACCACCAGATAGAAGCAAGCCCATTACTTTTCGACGAGTGAATGACCAATCTTTCGGTATTAAGAATGAGGTGACGAATCACTGTGCAAATAAGCCTGTGAAAGAACTGAGTACCCGCTATTGTGCGACAGTAGTTCTTTACAATTTAAGGAATACATAATTTATTGCTTTCTTGTGTTATATGTAGTAGGGCTTAAGTCTCTGTAAATCAAGAGCTACAAATATGCCAGGATGATATTAGGTATTTTGGTAAATTCGCTCTATATCTTCCACATACTCATTGGCTTTATAATTCAAGTTGAGTTCATTCTATCAGAATCAATTACGAAGTAATTTAATTCCGATAGTAGTGAAAACGATCATGAAATTTATCTAAGAAGGGAATAGATATGATAGCTCATACTGTAATCAACTGCTTGTTCTCCAATAAATAATGAACATACTCTTCACACTAGAACAAATTGATGGTGTTAGATATTTAATCTCATCCAGATATTAAAAAACGTATCTTTATGCACTGTCTGTAATAAATATGAAGTCATTCAAAATCTGCTGGATTGTTTCCCAGTTCTCAGTACTGACTTCGCTGAAACTCATTAAATTTTCAGCTACCTCACATAACTAATTTCAGAAAAACTGGGATATAAAAAATGATACGTTATATTTAGGTAAAATTGTATATTTTCTCGTAACAAATGTAAAGCGAAAATTAGTCATCCTTGATAGACCTGTTGGTAGCACATAAAATACTAGTTAATCTTCTTTAACCGTAAACTTGATACATACTTTTTATATGTGAAGGAAGAACCGACCTTTATTACTTAGGATACCTGTGGTTAGAGAATTTCAAAACCATTAAGATTGAACTCTTTGAAGGATTCATCTGTCGAAAAAGTTTATTAATAGTACAAAGTTTACCGATATGATGTAAACTCCGAAGGAATTTTTCTTTCAGCAAAGCAGATCTTTCCATCGTGGTTGAAAATTAGGCATTAGTTTGAAAGTATTATGCAAAATACCAGCAGGGGTAGAAGTTTAATAATACTCCCTAACAAAACATGCTGAATGGTAAGTTAAAGAAAGAAGGAGCGTATTACACGGTTTAGTTATTTATGCCAATTTCATACAAAAGAAATGCAAACACTAAGTGATGGATAAAACTCACGGGTGCTATGTCTTCAAAGAATGGGCTGAGAGACCGGAATATTATATACAATTAAAACAGGATAGCCAAAAATATAAATTAGGCTATGCCAAAGAACGAAAAGATAGATCACAGAGAAAAACTATCATATGAAAGTGAGGGAGCTGTGAAATACAAGTCACGGTGGCGAAGTTGACTGAAAAGAAGGTGACGTATGAATGGCATAAACTTCTGATATAAAAAAATGTGATACAACTCTACTGAAACGCGTTGATGTTACTTTGTATACGTAGTTTAATAAACATGCTATGGATAAGTTATGACTAGGCGGTACATTAAGCTTCAGTAAAAAAACAGTTGGTTGATTTGGATTCTCTTTTCTACAACTATGCTGGTGAATGGAAATGCCTCGAAATTTCCACTTTTGTAATGTTATACATAATGTTTATATAATCAGACAAACTACAAGAGTATCTAGTAATAAATTACCAAATTTTGATAAACTTAAAAAATACAACCAGCTTACAGATGCCTTATTTTATCAATATTTAGACCTTTTTTTAACTGTTTAAGATGACATCTGTCATAAATAAAGCTCATAAGCCATATGCATTTTATAGGAAATTGGATTCAAAGCATAGTATGATAAAGCTTGATTTACTTGGTAACTAGTAGGCTTTCCGAAGTAGTTTGAAGGATTTACAGCTTGGGATGAGGAAGATTACAGAAGTTAATGTTGATGAACTCACCGTCAAAGAGCAGTGAACATATATCAGTATACCTTTTTTGATTCACTCAGAATGTACTTAATTTTACCACACCTGAAGGCAATGTGGTGCTTCTTATGCTGCAGTCCGCTTAGTAGCTAGCAGCAAAATCTATGACTAGCGTTTCTTTTTATTATGTGCTTGTCAGCTGGATGTGCGTGCACCTCAGCGAGGGATGTTGTTCTCGCTAAGACTCGAATCCAACAAACGTCATAGACGTATTCGCTAAATCACTGGGGTCTCACTGGGCCCAATGATTAACGCTGTGTCATTTATAAGCGACGTATAGAGAGTTTGGATCCCACTCAGAACCACATCACTCACTGAGATACAAGTACATCTAGATGATGAGTACCAAATTAGGTAAAAGGCATGTCGTAGATTTCACTTCTAGCCAACAAGGAGACTGTAGAATAAAGAGTAATCGGGCAATGTTGAAGAGTCTGTATAGGATCTAATCTGCTAACAGAGGTCGAGCAATTCGATCCAGTATGGAAAGGTCATACTACAAGTATAAAACATTGTAGTGCTTCATTAAAATTTTCTGTTTTACTTTCCTTGACGTCAACGAGTAATAAATGACCCCAGAAACGACATTTATCTGTACTGCTGTTGATTATTATTAGATCTGGTTTGTTTGATACAGAACCTAAGGTCAAATGTTACTGCTTCTACTGTGGTACCTAAAGTACTTCATCTTTATCTTACTTGAGGTTGTAAATGTCTCAGGGTATAACAATCAAATTAAAATGAAATCGTTTTCCAGTGTCACTTGATCTTTAGTTGGTTCCATTTTTGTTGCCAATTTACGTTAGTCAGTATCTTCAAGTAGTGTCAATTTAATCAAATACAAGTCATTCCTTTGTTTTTGAAATAGGTATTGATGAAAAACGCATTAGAGTTTTTGAATCTTCACTGCTTTACACAAAAATTGACATGTTTATGAATACTCCTACTAATAAGAAGAGTACAAGTAGTTAAACTTTCATGGCTTCAAAATATCATAAATTCAGTTTATTCTCATATTCAATTCTAATTCGTAAACGCATAAATAAATGCATATGAAATTCAGAGGAAAACATGCACAAAAGTATTAGCAAACGGGTGCTATTGATATTACTTCTACTAATAATGGTAATAATAATGGTGACAGGGTTGAGAGAGAATCCAAAGCTTCCACTATGTTACCAAACAAAGAAGGCCACGCAGAATCAGTACAAAGAATTTTTTATAAGACTGGCTGGTATTAAAAGGGCATTTGAACCAACAAACTCACTATGAAATAAGCGCTGCAGTTTAAAAGATCCAGTTGATGCAATTAAATAAAATAATCTGGTTTACCGAATCCCTTGCAATGATTGTGAGGTCAAATACATAGGTCAAAGTAGTCAACCAAGGTCGATCAGAATAAAAGAGCACAAATTCGTAGATAAATCAAGATTAGTAGATCCCTGTAGGATAAGATTCTATTACTATGCTTGTCACAAACAAGGATAGAATGTTCGAACTACAGATACTATGTCTCAAAACTGTGTAGTTACCTGATATGAATATAAACAAAAATTAAGTCACTAACGTTATCCAGTAAGTGATACTGTTTCATTTCTAGTAAACGGAATAAAATGAAATTACAATTTACCACCCTCCCCAAGTTTTAATTCTATGCCTTTTATTCTAACTGTGCATTGATAACGATAAAATTATTGGCACTATCACCAAAACCTGTTTTTATGTGAAGACTGAACAATCTACAGAATATCAAGATTGATTCAAAAATTCCAATTGGCTTCATTCTTTTGCCTAAATATGCACACCAAAGTTCTTATGTATACAAAGCTACAAGTGTCTAAACTAGCTTCTAGTTGATCCAGTATGCATGAGTTTTCATTGATGGCCTTGTTTCTGCCATATTACCTCAGCTTTTGAAACGGATGGTCAACTTGTTCGGTGTTTTAGTAATTTAACTATCAAACCATTGTGACCTCCAGGCCTCATGAAGTTCAGGATCCAAGTGATTTTCTTAATGGCTGTTACAGCAAGGTCTAAAATTGCCGTGATCTGCATAAACAGCTTTAAATATTTAAAGCTTGTTGCAACCAATCGTTTCCTTAAGAGGTTTCGGGAGAAAGCATGTGGACCAAGGTTTAATTATCATGTTGGTTGAAGACATGAAACATCAATAGCACATTCAAATCTAGAAAGGCTCGTTAATAGCCAAGGCCATTGTAAACACGTCTAAATCCTTATATTTTGTTGGGCGTTGCAATATACTTTCTGTAACGTTATTTTTTCCCATTTATCAAGTTAATGAATGACCGTCAAAGGATGAAATCGGAAGATTATCGTAAGATCGTTCACCTGTATATAAATGAGGTTATTTTAAGTAGTAACTATAAGAATATAAAAAGTGGCAAAAAATATGAAAGGTGGTAACTAATGTATGTGAAAACTACATATTTTTGTGAGAATGAAAGACAATGACAAAAATAAAAGTTTGAACTTCAGCATATTTTCAATTATTTGATAAATCTATTTATGAGCTATGCGATAATATTATTCTAACTTAAGTTATTAGTTCCAGTTTACTGGGAATTTAGTCTTTGGCATACATGTTAAAAGATCGAATGATGTGATGACGACGAAACTTGAGAGGTGCTGCGATAATACAACTTGTTAATGTTCCCAAAATCAATATATTAGTTCTGGTTTCATGCAGAAGCTGGAACATGAAGAACATGATAGAGGCAAGCTAGCATATATCTCCATGTAAGTGGCAACCTAAGATGCAAAAAGTTCTTTCTGTAGGAATCTACGTAGTACAGATAAGCAATCTTTTACTTCTTACGTATGTTAAGGAAATTATAAAAAAGGTAGAAAATGACATGATTAGGCATAATTCCACTTCAAAAGTATAAAAGATTATTTATACAGTCTCTACATACGTAGCTTTATAGTTACTTTTTTCCAGAAATGCTGGGAAGATCGAAATGGACAAGGTTAATGAATATATACACCTTTCATCACATACAAGCAATATAATGAAAATTAACTTTGTCTCACATAATACATATAATATTAAAGACTGATAAGTGCAGATGCACTTGAAAAATATATCATGGCGGTTAATTTAAGCGTAACGTTTTAGTAGTATTACATGTTAATGGTACGAGTTTTCAGTTACTATCCTGAAATGCACTACTGAAGCTCTTCCAGTTAATAAGTCTTTGGATTATAGTCAGCTCTGCTTTGCCAATTTCTTCAATTATACTACCTAATATAAACCATTCTTTTAATAAATATTGATACACAGCACCTGAATTTGACTTTAAGCACATTAAGCTAGTTGGATAATATCTTTCAATTCTTGTGAAGTTTAACAAAATTAACTTCACGCTGCATATGTAATACAAGATAGCCTGTAGTTGTTTAGGTAACTGATAAAAATACCACCATTGCTACTAACACTTTTATCACTACTCAAAAAGTCACTCCATCTACTAGTCCTACTACTACTGTTGTTATTGTTAATATCATTATTATTATTCAAACCGCTAACACTCAGGTATACTTAAAGTGAAACATTATGGATTCTGTAAAATACTACGTTTGAAAAGTGTAAAGTCTGAACTTTCTCTTATGATATCCACTGAGCTGTAACCCTTTTGATTTCGTGCTACTACTTAGATGCTAATTCCATCTTCAACTACAAATGAACTAGCTGTATGGTATCATTGCTCATTGCCAAGTAAATCACCTACAAAATGTAACAGTTTGCATAAATTTATAATGACTATGGTTTTCTCTACACTTTTCTAGAAAGTCTTCCAAACAATCTAAGATCCATATACGACCACGTGGTTTTTCGCGAAAGTTCGGCATGCCATGACTGTCTGTGAAGGCTTTTCAGGGAATTTCAGACTTCGTTGAGGAATTTAGGGGATTTTATCGCACTCCTTAACATAATTTGTGTATTCATCGTACAAGCTGTATTTTACTTGTATTATCCCGGTGAATTATATTCGAACAAATGACAAAATAAACCGATAGTTTGCATCATTGCAGGTGTTCCAACAACCCACTATCTATCTAAAATTATAGTTTGTAAAGTTAGGTGAGATCCTTTGAAAAGTGATACTGTTCTCAAGGATTTCTTCTTTTAACAAGTAGCATAATGAAAGATAAAACTATCTGTTTTCTCACCGTTAGTTATACAATCCATTCCAACACCCCACTCACAATTAATACTTTTCGAAATCAATCCAACCTTTCGTAATTAACCGACAACTTAGTTGTCGTCATAATTCATCAGTTTATGGAGTGTCAGCAACACTGTGGACGGACATGATGAACGACTTTTGCTTTAGTATCCTAAAACTCGATCTGTTATCCTCAAAGTTGCCCCCCACAAAAGTTTGCTTGGACCTTTACTAGAAATACCGATCTGGTTTTCTTTGAAGCCTTTCTCATAAACAGCATTATTCTTCAATCTTTTATTCACTAATCAAGAAAACGATATGAAAAAATAATTTGATTCAAAGATAAAACGATTCAAGCAAGAATAGTTGATTTATCACTCCTTCATTTGGAAAACATTTTCAGGCCCCAAATGTACACAAATAAAATAACTTGATGTCAAAGTCTAGATTACGACAAATGCCACGGAATATAAATAATATTTCAATCAACTTTAAGTCAGCTTCTTTAGAACATTTATTTCTTACTGGACTGCTGACAGATATTTCAGTTGTCTCTTTCAAAAATACGAATTTCGACCTCAATAGATTTAAGTTATTCACTCTTGAAATAAACAATAAAAGTAGGAAATAAATGTCGCATAAACGAGGCTTTCTTGAATTGTTCTTTTGGTTGTCAGCATCTTGTAAAAATGGATTTTCGA